CCCAATTATTGAAAGCCTTTTTGATGTTCATGACCTTTCACCCTTCCATTTTTGAATATTTACGATGAAGTAACCATTTATATTGTCATCTTCTTTACAGAATTTTAGTTTTACACGTCATATGCCTTTGTAATGTTGTTATACGAAATACGTGGTGTGGACCTTAAGGGCAACTGGACATTTATACGGTAGGTATCTGTGCTAATAAGTTCTTTGCCCTTGTAAAAATCGCAAATACCGGTGTTACCGATTTCCGAAATGATGGATGTGTCGGTGCTTATCGACTGAAAATTAGGGCATAATAACTGCACGTTTGAAAGATTGCAGGTACAAGTGTTGTGAGAGAGAGAGAGAGAGAGAGAGAGAGAGAGAGAGAGAGAGAGAGAGAGAGAGAGAGAGAGAGAGAGAGAGAGAGAGAGAGAGAGAGAGTTACCAAGAAGCCGAAGGTTATGGAGATAAGGACAGTGGTGGAAATGGAGATGGCGGCGAGCTGGCGTTGACCGAGGTGGCCGGCAAAAGATTGGGTAACAACAGTGAGGGAAAACATAGTCAATCGGCCAAAGATTGAGGGAGCTGCTATTTGCCATAGCTTCTTGCACTCAACCAAAGCTTCCTTAACAGAATTATAACTTGCTGCAGTATCAAATGAAGCTAGTAGCTCTGATTGAAGATGATGGTCTTGATTTTCTTCAGATGTTGACTGTAACAACCGCTGGTGGTGGTGGTTGGGGGTCGCTCCTATCATTGTTGACTTCTAGTCATCTTTTTTGTCGTGCAACAATAATTCATAAATAAAATGGAAAAATTGGCTTCTCCTCTCTGAGAAATATTTTTGGGGTTTTTCCTATTAAATACCTAATTAAGAGAAACTTTTGCGGTTCAGTCCATGTATTTTTTTTTACTCAGCACTAGGCGTGGTAAACGAGCTAGAGTTAGCTCGTATTCGAGTTCGATAAAATGAATTCGAGCTCGAGCTCGAGCCTGCCAGAACATGCAAGTTCGGCTCGTTCACACCTCTACTCTGTACTATCTATTTATAAGTTTCATTTATACTTCAGACCCTACTTCCTCTAAAACGTTTAGAATACTCTCACTTTATATCATAATTACAACAACCTTTTTTTACTAGTAAAAGTGCTAATGGTCATTAAAGTGTGTTTCACCGAAAAAAAAAATCGATACATATAAATTTATTTTTTTATTTTTGTTTCTTTTTTAATTTCTTTTTTTTTTGTTATGCCCTTATGCTTAAAAATCCATTTTATTTATTAATTATACTTAGAAATTATGAAATTTTATGACATGATGTACCTCTATTTTCTGGTCATTCTGGTAGGTCATGTTCATGATTGGTTCAATAATGAATTTCCTATGAATTATTTTCTGTAACTGTACCGAAGCAGAGGCATTGTAACAATTGCTATAAAATCTGATGTTTTACTCACTCAAACTGACTAATTTTACTTGGAATAGAAGCATAACTTAATTTACTTGTTTGAAATAAAATTTAGTGATACTTTATCCAATCGAAAATTTAAGATATTTTCAAAGTTCCCTTCCTTGTTCTGTATTTTCAACTGTATTGGTGCACCACTTTAATTATTTCTCTTAACTGGGTACATATATTTTTAAATTGTTTTATATGCGTAATTTAGACTAATATAAGAGTATGTGAAAAATATTTCAAGTACTTTTCATGAAGGATTTTATAGAAATAAATTTTTGAAGTCGAAGGTGTTGAAATAGGAGTGACATTGTAAATAGAAGTGACCATTCTCTAGAAAACAAGTAATTCGATGAACCCAATATACATATTTTTGCACACTATAACTCATAGAGGTCTAACATCATATTATTTGATTATTTGAGACTCTAAACTATTCGATTTATGAACTTACGTTATGTAAGCACATTGTCTACATTTACGGGAACACGAGGCATACATTATGTGTCATATAAACTTCGATACTGTTATTATTTTAACATTTTAATTATTTTTATTTTTATTTTGTATAATAGTTAACCGCATAATGATGGCAAAAAATATTTCTAATGATGTTTGAACAAATTATATACGTATTTGCGTCATTTGGAGCTCGAGATGCTATCAAATTGAATGATTTACTCGTATTGAGTAGAAGATGTTGAAGTAGGAGTGACATTCGAGATAGAAGTGGCCTTTCTCTAGAGAACACGTAATTCGTCTATTGTTTAAAAGGGCAAAAAGATGTTGAAGAAAAACCAAATTAAAAAAAAGTAAAAAAATTCAACAGCAGAAAGAAGATTTTTTTTTTGAAAAAGTCAACGCCGGAGACTGACGGTCAAATGCGGGAAACCGGCTGAAAAAACAGGAGAGAAAAAAGGTAAACGCCGGAGACCAATAGTCAACAGCAGCGACGAGCGAAATTGTACACAAAATTAAGTTTAGGGTCAAAATTGAATGATTTGTGAAATTTGGGGTCAAATTGAGGTTAAATTGAATTAAATGATGAAATTGGAGCATATTTAAATGTGAGGGGTATTTTAGTCTTTTACACACCTCTGGATAATGTCTCGACTTTTTTGGAAAAGAGTTCTCTGTCAAGACCCCTCTATGAATAAGTATACCATGATGAACTTATTTGTAATGTATCATTATCTTTATATTACAAACGAATTTTCAAAATGATCTTTCTGTGTGTTGCATAGCACACCATTTTCAATACTATTAGAATTGTTTACATAGATAAAAATGAGGCTTTTATAAGTCTGCTATCTTAACAATTTCTCACTTAGACTAAAATCACGCGGCCATATATTTTAACCCTAATCCATCTACGTGATTGTTGAAAGTCGTTGTAGGAAGGCTCTTCGTGAATGGATCTGTTAGGTTGTCTTCCGATGCTATCTTTGTGACCACTACATCTCAACCAACGAACTCTCACATTATATGGTACTTGCATTTCATGTGATTTTCCTTCTTGTGAGCTCTCGGTTCCTTGGAATATTGCGCCACTGTTGTCGTTGTACAGTGCTACAGGCCCACAGCCGATCAAGCTGCTGGAACCACTCCCATGTCCATGCTGCTAAAAAGAAGGCTCGTGAGCTCATAAACAACTAAGAAAAAGCTCAATCTCGAAATTAAAAAAACAAATTTAAGTTCGAGCTTTTACCGAGCCGGCTCAGCTCATTCACACCCCTAATTCGATTTCCCAAAAGGTGAAATATGCAATACATCCCTCATTTTGGAAATATTTTGACCTAAACCCAATTGACTTTTAAAGACTTGTTTTCTCACCCAAATTTCACTTTTAATTAGTGAGAATCCCCCTGGAATTGTTATATCCCTATTCTACCCTTTCATTACAAGCCATAGCCCACCTACACTTTTTCACGTAATCCAATTTCTATTTCTTTGTCTTCCTCTTTTTCACACCCCGCCGTAATATGCTCAGCCCAACCGAAGACCATGGCTGCCGCCATTTTATACCTCCGCGGTCCCTCCACCCGCCTCAACTTCCCTACTGCGCCATCGAAGACGTCGGCGGCCTCTTGTCCGCCGCCGCCCTCAGAAAGAAGGCCACGAAGGTTGGTGCTAGGGTTGACACACTGCAAGCGGCGGACCGCCCACGCCCTGTTTCCTATAACCCGGGCAGGATTTCGAGAAACCCGATTTGAATGAGTACTATACCCCTGAAACTTGGGAGGAGAACTGAATCAATTCATTATTATGGTCCGTTAATTTTGTGTTATTTTAGAATGTTAATTCAAATTGTTTTTTTCTTTTTGGGATTTTATAAAGTTAAATGCATTTTGCAGCAGAGATGTATTAAATTGTATGTGGAGGAGAATTAATTTATGGTTTCTCTGCTACAAAATTATTACATATAATTAGTGATAAAAAATTTGGTGGAATTAAGAACCTAAATGTAATTAGGTGTGAAAATTACCATTTCTATTTCTGTATTTTTCATTATTTTCCCTCTTTTTCGTTATTTTTCCATCTCTATTTTTGTATTTTTCGAGAAAAAAAAATTCCAAATCTGTATACAGTTTCAGATTTGAGCAACAGTAACATAACTATAGTCATATTCGAATATGACTATACCACACTATATAATCGGAATTTTTAATATTATTTTTTTTTTTCTTTTTTTTTTTCCAGAGCTGAAGCAGCAGCAGTAACTTGACTATAGTCTGGTTCGAATATAATTATTGCTGATTCACTCGATTAGTGATTTATTAATTTCTTGTTTGTTACGCGAATCACGAATAACATAGTGTATGATGACCAGGAAGAGTGGTTCCGGTCAATTTTCATGAATTCGAAGAAGGACGATGCGATTCAAAACCAATACGAGTTTTTTCACAAAGAATGTGAGGGCCTCCATTATAAAACCAAAGTAGAGGTAGCTAAGCTTCTCGTTTTATCATGCAGAAGAATGAAACTTTGTTTTATCCGATCACATTGTAAATTAAGTTCGATATGCTGGTTTTTTTTTCTTTCCAGATCTATCCACCACCACCACCGTCGCCGCCTCTCTTAGTCTCGCTTTCGTTCATCGCCGCCACTGCCGTTGTCGTCAACTCCCCTTCCCTCTCTTTCGCTATATTTCTATCTCTATTTGTGTATTTTTCGATTTTTTTTTCCCCTGGAGATCTAAACTAACAGCAGTAACATGACTATAGTCATATTCGAATATTTTTTTTTCTCCAGATCTGAACTAGCAGCAGTAACATGACTATAGTCATATTCGAATATGACTATTGTTTGAATATGACTGTAGTCATATTCGAATATAACTATTGTTGAATATGACTGTAGTTATATTCAAATATGTTATATATTTTCGTTTCAACTTGACATGTAATAACAACATTCAAATTGTGATTTTTTGTGTGGATGTTGATTGGATTATTTTCGTAAACAATAGGCAATCTTCGTTGTTTTATATAATTTGGTAAACATGACTGTACCACACTATGTAATCGGAATTTTTAAATTGAAAATGTGAAAACCAGCAATATAAAGAAAAAATATGACTACAGTTGATATAGTCACATGTAGTCATATTCGGCATACTAAACAAGTCGAGAAAAATAATTCAATTTTTTATTTAATTTAAAAAAAATATATATATTTTTCTCAAACAAATATTAAAAAAATATAATAAAAAAATGCGAAATAAATCCAAAATAATAAAAAAATAAAAAAAAAAATAAAAAAAAAAAATTGATTTTTGTTTTTGATTTGGTAGTATTTATTTATAAGAATTTGGAAGTAGATGCTTAAGAATTAAATTATTGTTATGGAAAGAGAAAAAAAAGGAATAATTGAGACAAATTATGCTAATTGACATAAGTGTAGTATTGAAAATACAATTCCCATGGGTTATCATAAAGAAAGATTTAAAGGGTGGACATATTACCATCTATATAAGGGGCTTATTGCTAATAAAGAAAGACGGTAAGTGAGTAAACGGGCTGGCTGTGGAAGAATGATATACGGCCCAGTACGTGTGTGGGCTTAGAGTGAACAGGTCTAGAGCTTACGGGCCGGGCCAGACAATAAACAGTACCTAAACCGAAGCAGTATCGGACCCGGAAACACTGGGTTGATGGCCGATTCAATCCAGGAGTTCACTGATTCAAGGCAACGCATTATGAATTCCTCCAGGTTTATGTCGATTGATTCATGCCCGATGTGTAGGAAGCGGATCAGAATTGATTCCAAGCGACAACCCAACGAGGTGAGATTTCAACAAAGATTAAGCCTTTTTTTTTTTTTTTTTCTCCCCCAATTTTCGGATCATGTTATTTGCTGTGTTTCCCCGTAAAATCGCTGTTTTGTTTGGTAAGGATAGGAATTAAACACTTGAAATTTCGTTTGATTGTGTGATTATTCAATCTATGATGCTAGTTTTGGTTCCCTTTCATTTCAAATTTTTATGAGGATTTTGAAATAATCTTCTCTAGGATAAAAGACGAAATCATAAGAGAAGTAGAATACACGGAATAATTTAAATGAATGAACACGTTGTTGAATCAAAAAAAAAAAATTAAAAATTAAAAAAAAATCATCGGATGAGAAGCAGAATTGGGTATATAAACTGGTAAACTAGTCTCTTTTCAAGCCATTGAGGTGAGATTTCAACAAAGATTAAGCCTTTTTGTTTCGGTTACTAAGACCCCGTTTGGTTGCCAAGATAAGCCATGATTAACTAAATTGTTGGACTTAATTTGATGTTTGGTATCCTCAATAAATTGCCGGGTCGACCCGCCAAAATTATATAATCATGGCTTATCTTGCTTTCTAATTAGTTTTTTTTTTTGAACGTTTCAAGCTCCAATAAAATAATTGGGTCTCATTAGATTATATAATCTTATCTTGGCTAATCTTATCTTGCCAACCAAACGGGGCCTAAGGATACAATTGAACCCCTAATTTGATTGTTGAACTGATTCCAAGCTTCAAACCAACCAAGGAGGGCGAGATTTCATCAAAGATCGAATCTTTTTGTGTGTACAATATGAAAATCTGAAAGATTAGGCTTTTTTTTTTCTTTTTTTTTTTTTTTCTCTTTCCTTCCAGTTTTGTGTTGTGTTTCCCGACATAAAACACAAAAATCTGTATATAGGGATTGAACCCCCAACTGTTTCTGCTGATATGATTATTCAATTTGCAAAAAGAAATCAATTTATGGGGATTGTGATAATCAATTTGCTGATATGATTATTCAATCTACGCGGTTCGAGTCTTTTTATATGTACAATATAAAAATCTGAAAGATTAAGTCTTTTTTTTTTCCTTCCAGTTTTTCTTATCATGCTATTTGTTGTGTTTCCTGGCATAAAATCCATGTTTTTTGACTAGTTTGATATACAGTATAACCTCGATAAATTGATAACCTCGATTAAATAATAGTTTCTCTCAGTCCCGACTCGGTGAAAACGTGTTAAATTATTAACTTGATAATTTAATAATTCGCTAGCCCCGACTGTAGTAATTTATAGAGGTTTCACTATACTTCGGCTAATTAAGACATACATTTTGGCCTTTTTTTATCTTACTATTTGACAGTTTTGTGCTAAGAAGAGATACATTGGGTATAATAAAGATGATCGGATAAGTGAATTGCCTGACGACATTGTTGTACATATCCTATCTTTCCTGACGGTGGAGGAAGCTGCACGCACAAGTGTTCTTTCGTCTCGTTGGATCAACTTGTGGGAATACACCACTCGTCTCAAACTAGACGGAGATGAAGGATTAGCCAAGCTTCGTAGACAGTACATGTTTCGTCGCAAATTAATTGAGAGTGAGGAACGCAAGTACGTGAGGCGGGTGAACCGTGTCCTCCAATCACACAAAGCCCTCACCTTAAAAGAATTCAGAATCCGTTTCGCTTTACAAATAACAGACCACGCGTCAATCACTCGGTGGCTTCAATTTGCGTTTTCCAGACAAGTTGAGAGGTTGGAGTTTGACCTTCAAGATGACGATAATTATCATTTCCCCGAAAAGCTCGTTTCTACTTCGGTCAACTTTAAGTCCCTCAGAGCATTGATCTTTACGAATGTTCACGTGAGTAAGGGACCTATTGAGTTCTTTTTACGTAACTGTCCTTTACTCGAGAAATTGATTGTCTGTTACTCCGCCAATTTGTCGAATCTTCAAGTTTGTGGTTCGTCCCTCGCGTTAAAACACTTGGAGATAGTCTATTGCTATCATTTGAATCCGCTTACAGTTTCTGCTCCGAGTCTTACTTATTTAAAGGCTGCGACATATGATCGATTAGTGCTTGAGAATATGCCGAGGCTAGTTGAGGTAGATGTTAATCGTACAGATGATGATGTTTCCTTGAGAGGTTTATGTTCTGCATTGTCTTGCTTTTCACAACTGGAGACTCTTCGTTTGACTCTGCTGCGTAAAGAAAAGGTTAGACTACTAACAGCAAACATATTTTCTCTCCGTCGGTGTATAGGTTTTTTGTTTACTAACTAATTGATTATTGGCTGATTTTGCAGGAACATAATGAGCTACACAAGCTTCCTCAACTGCATAAACTAAAGACGTTGGTCGTAACATATTTGTTAGATGGTTCTGAAACTCTTACTCGACTGGCTGATTTGATAAGGGCATCCCCTTGCTTACAGGAACTTGTTGTAGAGGTAGATCTTCTTATAACATATTGACACCCTACAAAAGCATCATAAATTATACTTGCTTATATATATATATATATATATATATATATATATATATATATATATATATATATATACATGGGTAAATTACAAATACAACCCTGATGTATACTAAAATAACTTTAAGGTCCATGTGGTATTGGGAAGTACAACCACACTCCTGAATCCTTAACAAATAATGCATTGGATAAGTTATTTCTTTTGGGTTCTAACAGACTATTAGTTTCAGAAATAAGTGGAGACAAGATAGAGCTAGAGGGTGACATGGCTCCCCCAACATTTCTTAAATCCTTATTATTTTATATAAAATCTATAAATTTTAGTCTCTGGTAGCATTAATGGTAGCATTAACGGCCTCGGGAAACCAAATATAGTGCATATTGGTCGGCAGGATATGAAATCTTGGTTCCGGTAATTGTTTTAGGGGTGTGGTTGTAATTTCCAATACCACATGGAGCTTAAAGTTATTTTAGCATAACTTAGGGTTGTAGGTGTAATATATATATATATATATATATATATATATATATATATATATATATATATTTATGTTGGTAATCTTGTT